ATCATCTATACCAGTGATGGTGAACCTTTTAGAGCTTTCAATGATACGAATACAGCTGAGGCACACATGCCATACATTTGCCACCACTCATCTGTACAATTCTGGCTTCTCTAGAAAATACATAAGATTTCACCTTATTTAAAATTAGCTTTAAAAAGCAAAGGGCTGGGCACAGTGGCACATACCTGTAATCCAGCTACTCAGAAGCTGAAATAGGAGGAATTCAAGCCTAGCCAATTAGCAAGCTCCAATCTCAAAAATTTTTTAAAAAGGGCTGGAAAGACAGCTCAAAGCACTTGCCACCCATGCAACACACTAGGTTCAATCCCCAGTACTGCCATAATAATAATAATGATATATAGCATAGGGAAAAAGAGGGGGAAAAATTCTTTTGTGGGAATGGGACAACCAAAACTCTCAAATGCAGCAAATAAAATTTGAAACCAAACAAACTGTTATGAATTAATTAAAAAAATTGTCTGTATAAAATTCAATTCCATAAAACAAGAACACAAAATAGAAATATGAGAGTTCAGGAAAAATAAAAACATGAAGATGGCCATATGTGGTGGTACATGCTTGCAATACCAGCAACTTGGGAGGCTGAGGCAAGAGGATCACAAGTTCAAGGCCAGGCTGGGCAACTTAGCAAGATTCTGTCTCAAAATAAAAAATAAAGAACTGAAGGTGTAGCTCAGTTGTAGAATGCTTCCTCAGTATATATGAGGCCCTATTTTCAAGTCTCAATACTGGAAAAAACAAAAGGAAAAACAATTCAGTCTAGCTTCAGATTTCACAAATATTTACTGCTAGGTAGCAATAGAATGATCCTACAAGATTAAAAAAATTAAAATATTACACAATAATTGTACAGAATTAACACTAGTTAAATTGTCATTGAAGTAACAAGTAAACAGAAAAATATTTCATTTTGTTTTTTGTTTTTATTTCACATGTGCCAGTACCTTTGTGGTGATGTTTATTTTTTTCCACCAAAGCATTCAATTCATTTTGGTACATTGGTTATAGTCTTATCCTTCAACCCAGTTTCTATTACCATTTTTTAACATCTGGGAAAAATAATTTGAATTATTTTCTTCCTTTTTAATGTTGAAATTGATTAATTGAGCTGGGTGTGGGGGTGCACTCCTGTAATCCCAGCACTCGGGAGGCTCAGGCAGGAGGACAATGCAAGTTCAAAGCCAGCTTGGGCTACATAGTGAGTCAAGGTCAGCCTGAACTACATAGCCTGTCTCCAGAAAAAAAAAAAAAAGTTTCTTTATATTTATCTATTCCTAGGCTAGGTAGTACTTTCACATAGAACAAAATTCAAAAGCCAATCTCTTTTCCACTAATGTCACTTAGTTCCCCTTTCCAAAGGATAACTGTTACCAGTTTGTTTCATATCCTTTCTTCTAGAGTTTTTACATATATGTGTATATATTTATTTATTCAAGTAAATACATATGTACTATATACAGATTATCCATGTTTAGTGTATGTATAAAATGTTTATGTATATCAAATATACATAGATTTCTTTTTATGCAAATGGTAATATATTGTGCATTCTGTTCTATGCCTTGCCTTTTCCTACTTACAATATCAACATATCTTGAATCCAGTGGTATGCTGATAAGTTTTAACAACCAGCTATCTTGCCTTTTTTGTTTGTTTGTTCTATTTTTGTTTTGTTTTTGTTGAGATAGGGTCTGACTATGTAGCTCAGGTTGACCTTGAATTCATTATGTAGCCCAGACTGGCCTTGAACTCACTTCAGTCCTCTTGCCTTAGCCTCCTGGGTGCTGGGATTACAGGTGTGTGCCACCATGCCCAGCTATCTTGCCCCTTTGTAGCCTGTATTCCACATAAACAGCTGGAAATGGTCCTTCTCAAGTCGATCATGACAGTGCTTGGCTGAAAGCCCTTTCCTGACTTCTCACCTGAAGTGTTCTGTAAGGCCCCTGGTAGCTTAGCCCCAAGTCTATTCTTTTACCTCACTTCCTACAACACTTACCCAATCATTTTGCTCAAGCTACCCAACCTGTTCTCCTTTGTGTTTGCTTTTCCTTCTGTCTGGTAGGTTGTTCTTCTACTACTCCAAGATTCTCTACTTTGCCTCATTCTCTTCCTTAGATAGGCCTATACTGAATAGTTTCTCCGAAACAGCAACCCCCATCATTCCCTGTTCTTAAAATAGTAATAGCTTGCAGTTACTGTGTTTGCTATATACCAGGCACTGAGGACAGTACTTTATATATTTTACCTCATTTAATCCTTACTTAAAATCTTTTTTATATTAATATATTTTTGTCACATATAATTATGACATTCATCATAGGGAATTTGTACCTGTACAAAATACATCTTCATTCTTTTTTCCCTATTCCCCTCCCCTCCTTTCAACCCTTCTCCTCCTGACATACTAAAACTTTGTTTCCATTTTTTTCCTTCATATATCTTTTTTTAAAAATCCCTTTTCCCTTCCTTTCCTTCCTCTCTCCCTCGTTTGTTCCCCTTCTCATTTGAACATGTTTTTCCTATTTTGCAATATCTAGCCTACATTTTCCTCCTCATTTACCCTTTGAGTGTCTCATACAAGAGAAACAATGTAATATTTAAACTTGTGTGTCTATTTCACTTAAAATTATGGTCTCAAGATGCATCCATTCACCTAAAAATGTCTCAAGTTTATCCTCCTTTATAGTAGAATAGTACTCTGTTGTATATAAATACCACATCTTCTTTACCCATTCATCTGCTGATGGGCATTTGGGCTGTTTCCCAGATTTAGCTATTACAAATTGTGCGCTACAAACACGGGTATGCATATAACAATGTAGTATGATGCTTTTAATTCTTTTGGGAAGATACCTAGGAGGGGAATAGCTGGGTCAAATGAAACCTCTAGTTTTAGTTTTTTGAGGAATCTCCATACTGACTTTCACATTGGTTGTACCAATTTACACTCCCATCAGCAAGGGAGAAGGGTTCCTTTTTCCCCACAGCCTCACCAGCATTTTAGGGTCATTTCTCTACCCATTCACTAAACTAAAATTGAAATGGATCAAAGATCTAAATATTAAAACAGAAACACTTAATCTGCTGAAAGATAAAATAGGTAAAACTCTTGAAGACATAGGTCTAGGCAAAGACTTTATGAACTAAACCCTGATTGCATAGGAAATATTACAAACTGGGATCACATCTAATTAAAAAGCTTTTGCATAGCAAAAGAAACCACCAACAGAGTGAAGAGACAGCCCACAGAATGGGAAAAAATTTTTGCCAGCTATCCCTCAGACAAAGGACTAATATCTAGAATATATTAAAAAAAATTTTAAAAAGGCCTCCCAAATTTAAAGACCCAACCCCAAAATGGGTATCTGAAATGAACAGACACTTCTCAAATGAAGAAGTACAAATGGCCAATAAATACTGTATATGAAAAAAACCTTCAACATCACTGGTCATTTGAGAAATGCAAATTAAAACAATATTGAGATTCCATCTCACTCCTGAGAGGATGGCTGTCATCAAGAAATCAACCAATAACAAATATATAAACTCTTTGAAATAGATACTACTATTATCCTCACTTTACAGATGTGCAAATTGAGTCATATGAAATATGTAATTTCCCCAAGGTTACACAGCTTGTAAGTATCAGAGCCAGGATAAAAACCCAGTTTAATTCCAGAGCTATATTTTTTATGGTTCCTCTGCTATTTTTAAAAATTACTAGTATTTTCTATTTTTTTACTGTGCTGGGGATGGAACCCATAATCTTATGTATACTAGACTGGCGTCTTGTGTATTCTAGGCAGGTATTCTACCACTGAGATATACCCCAGCCCCAAATTAAATTTAATTGACAGAAACTGTGTATTTATCATGTACAACATGTCACTTTGAGATATGTACACATCGTGAAATAACTAAGTGAGGTAATTAACATATACATTTTCTCACCTATTTGTGTGTCTGTGTGTAACAAGAGAACACTTAAAATCTACTCTGTGATTTTCAAGATCTAGTAAGTGATTTTTTTTTTGAGATGCGGTCTTGTTATGTAATGCAGGGTGGCCTTGAACTCACTACATAGCCCAGGCTGGCTTAGAACTCATAGCAATCCTCCTGACTCAGCCTCCAGAGTCTTGGGATTATAGACATGTACCACCATGCCCACCTACTAAGTGATTTTGAAAGCCAGGTGTGGAAGCACACACTTGCAATCCCAACTACTCAGGAGGCTGAGGCAGGAGGATTTCAAGTTCAGGCCAGCCTGGCAGCTTAACCATACCCTGTGTCAAAATAAAAAACCAAAAAGGGCTGGAGATATGGCTCAGCACTTCTTGGGTTCAATCCCTATTACAACAAACAAACAAAAAAATAACAAACATTCCACAATGTTATTAATTATATCACTTTGTTGTACAGTAGATCGCTTCCTCTCAATTATTTTTAAACACAAATTATACTGTCCTTGCCCTGCTTTATATTTTAACATAGACATCACTTATTACTCTCCTATGTGTCTACTCACATATCAGACATTAAATTATATATATACTTGTTTATTTTACTTTTCTTTATTATTCATACTAAGATCTCTGAGAGTAGGACTGACTTATTTTCTTCACTGATGTATATTACAACCTAAAAGAGTACCAGCATACAACAGGGGCTTAAGAAATGTTTATTGAACATATGAATGGACAGTTAGACCTGCAGAGCTATCTATACTTTTAAAATATGGAAACCCATGTATAAACTGAAAAGTAGGAGATAATATGTTTTTGGGGGTTTTTTCCCATTAAGTTTATTGGTACATTTTAGGTATACAATACAGTTACATTCATCATTGGGATCTTGTATCTGTACATGATGTATCTTGGTTCTTATTTTTCCCCTTCCCCTGCCCTCCCTTCACCCCCTCCACCCTTTAATATTTACAAAGACTTTGTTTCCATTTTTTCCTTTTCTCATATTTTTTTCTTTTCCCTTCTTTCCTTTCCCCTACCCCTCCCACTTCCCCTACTCCTTTAGGCCTTTTCTTCCTATTTCATAAATATGTTATGGAATGATAAGAAAGGCAACCAAGTCAAAGAAAATCAACTTGAGTCATGCTGAAAACACCGAATCAGCCCACTGCAGACAGGCAGGCCTGCAGACAGGGTCCTGAGGTCGTGAAGGCAAACTCTTAGCTGCACACCCCACATAAATGAAAAGAAAGTTAACACTTCAACATACAATGGCACAGGATAAACATTTCTATCCCAAAAGGTACAAAGAGGGGGATAAAAAGGAATGGGAACAAAGCAAGACCAAAATCCAGCAAGGATTAATCCAGCGAACATTAAATCCTGTAGTTCCATTGTCCAGTATCCCATGCAATCTGTGGCAAGTTGTGAACTCCAAAGGGCTTGAGTGGCTCCGCCCCCTACAGCACTTCCGGTGGTTGTAGCTACCATGGCTAGTCTCTTTGGCCAGCTTTGCTCATTCCTTGCAGATTTCCTCAATGATCTATGTTCCTGGCTTCTCCCACCTGTTGAAGTTTGCACTATACCTTCAGCTTCACACTCAGTTTCACACACTGGCCTCCGAGGTCTTCTTCTGAAATCTGAGGGGAAGCCTATCTCATCCCACCACTCTTACATTCTGCATGCACCTAAAAGCAGCACCAAGTGGTCGATGCCAAAGTCTGCTGCCAGCTGAAGCAGTAGCCAGGCTTCCTTCTCTCTTGGCTGTAGAAATGAGTGCTTGGATTACTGAGCACTAGGAACCAAATCCTGAAGAAGAACTTCCCTAGGCCACTGCCATTCTGGAACATGGTGCTCTGGGGCTTTCTTCTCAAAGCAAAGTCTTTCACATTTGTAATTCTGAGGTTGCAAAAGCCAGAGTCCTGCTGGTTCTTGTGATGTCTTCAGGCTACCTTTTCTATTCTCATTGCTTCTCAGCAATCAAGTTCTCCTCTTCTCCATCTTTGCAGTCTGCAGCTTTACCAGAACTTCCTTTCTGGCAAAACTCACAACATTTTAAATCATTCTGCTGGGCTCTTTGCTCTTGATTCTCAACATAAATCTGATTAAAAGCCCCCAATAGTGGCCATGCCACCACCTCAACATTAGACTGCCTTGAAATTTCTTCTGGCAGATTAATTAGTCTGCTGGCTTTAGTCTCAGTTCCAGGCAAAGTCTCTGGACATGAGCAAAATGCAGACAAATTTTCTGCCAAAGCATGACATACATGATGTGGAGTCCAACAGCCAATGCAGTCCTCATTCCCAGCAGAAACGTTCTAAGATTGGTCTTTATTGGCAGCATTTCTATCAGCATTCTGGTCTTCTGAGCTGACTAGAATCTCCCATCAAGTACAGCTTAAAGCATTCCAGGGCTGTTTCTTCAGGTGGTATCTCCAAACCTTTCCAAATTCTTCCCACTAGCCAATTCCAAAGGCTCCTGAACCACATGGTCAGGTACACTTACAGCAACCTCATTTCTGTATCAAATTTTTTCTTAGTTACTTTTCTCATTGCTGAGATAAAATACCTGACACCCAAAGGTAAAAATGAAAGGTTTACTTCAGCTCAGTTTGTAAAGGTCTCGTTCCATAGTCAGCATGGCAGAGGAGAAACAGTTTATAGTGGGCAGAAGTTATCAAAGCAGCAAGCAGGGAGTAGTAGGCAGCAGCAGGCAGCAGCAAAGAAGCAGCAGAAACACCTTCTTTCTGTCCCTCTATAGTCCATCCAGGCTGTACGGCTATTGACTGAGCCACACACACCCAGGGTGGGGCACCCTTAATCCCAGCATTACACACTTGGGGGACATCTAGATACAAGCCAGAACACCTTTGGAAGGTAATCACATCCAAGTATGGCTAATCCAACCAGAGCATCTCTGTCCAAGCCTAGTTTATTCTTGACAGATGACATGGTATAACAGTCAACATGTGGGTCCTTTGCATTCATGGTGAAATTCCTGTACACCGTCTGGGCCCCATAGAGGAAAGCATCTCCGTCGTTCATGAGGCAGCCGTCAACATGGCCAGCGAAATTGAGGTGAGCACACAAGGCCTCAGCTTCCCCTGCTGCTTGCACCCAGGGCACGCCTAAGCACTCCAGCATTTCAAGGCACTCTCGTAAGACCAACTTAAAACATGACCTTCCTATTCTCTGAGACCATATTTTCCCAGAAGGCCCGTACCACATCTGATTCCTCTTGCTCGTGACACCAGCTTTCAGCTTGCAGGTTCCCCCTCCATAACAAACACCAATCTTATATCCATTTGCATTAAATGGGAGACACGAAAAAATAAGTTCCTGAGGTGGGGCTTCATAACAGTCCCCACCATTTTTCTAACAGACTGCGCCTCACACACCCAGACACTCAGGTCAACTGCAATGGTTTTCCCACTACGACTCCGTAGGTGGACGTGTTGCTTCAGAGGCTCCAAAATTTTCCACAAGTCATTCACTCCCATTCTGACGATTATCGGACGCCGCTTCCTCCTTGGTCTCAGAGAAGCCCTGCTGCCCCTCACCAGGGGGCCCCAAGCCCGACTGCCCAGCCCCTGAGCTCCCAGCAGAAGGAAACCCTCGGTCCTCCTTTCCTCGCGCCAGGAGATATGTTTTTAAGAGTGAAGAATCTTACCCCTTTCCCATAACATTACCACCAACACACACATAAACCTGTAAGGAAAAGAAAAGAGAGAGAGAAAAAACCCAGAAAGATATTATAGACAATAAGGAGTATGTAGCTTTTCTGTGACAAGATATAAACTGCTCAATCTAAAGGCTGTAGCAATCTACAGATATGGAGGGGAAAAGGAATATAAGCAGAATTATATATAAAGTAATGGCTCAATAACTTTCTTCCTTTGGAAAACATGTATTTTAAGACATCTTCGAATAAAGAAAAGAAGTGAGTTTAGCTGGCATGTGGGACGTGGGAAGAGAAAAATATCACACATCTTCTGGACCTAAGTAGAAAAAAAAAACTAGTTGGTGACAGTTCTTGAAACACTATAAAGAAAAAAATATATATATAAAGGCAGACGTCAGCCAATGGATTTTTTTTCTTTTAAAAAATTTTTATTAGTGTATGTTTATAGTACATAATGATTACATTCACCTTGGGGACTTGGTACATGTACATAACACATCATCCAATGGAATTTTAATGCTAGAAAAATGGTTACTTCCTTTCCTCTTGTGTGTGTGTGTGTGTGTGTGGTTCTGGGGATGGAGGCCAGGTATTCAGACACACTAGGCAGGCACTCTACTTCTGAGCTGTGGATTGGTTCCTCTTTCCTTACCTTTGGGTCTAGCTAGGTTGACCCAGAGTACTTCCTTCCTTCAAACAATCAGGATTTAGTGGTCACTCTTAAAGATTTTGATAGAGGAGACTATACCCACGTCTATAGGTTGGTTTTGTTTCCTTACGCCTAGAAAAAAAACACAAAAACTTGTTTTCAATACAATGACCAGATGTCCTGCTTAAGGTGGGTCACCCTTAGATTTTGACTAGAATCTGAGTTTTTGAACAGTTAAACTTCTTGCATGTTTCAGGACATACAGGAGAAGAAAACCTTTTGAAACAGTAAATTATAAATAAATTTCCTAGATATTTTTACGGGATCCTTATTAACATTCATATCCAAGTAAAACCTCCATGTTAGGGAGAACCAGGGAAAGGGAGGGACTTCTTTATAGAAAGAATGTGGAAATCGTTGGATACCAGACTCATTCATTTATTAAACAAAAACCTCTAAAACTATAAATTAAAGCTCTGGGTAGATGAGTTTACCTTTAACCCTTGGCTCTTTTCCTTCTTTTGCCTGTTTTATGGCTGAGGCCTCACTTCTCCCCTAACACTTTGCTCAGGTCTCTTTGACCTCCTTGCTTGTTGTATGAACTTGGGTAGCTCATCTAAGCACCTAGAACATGTTCTCTCACTTGTCAAACTGGAATAAAACTAATGACCTCACACGGCTGATCTGAGGATGCAATGATGTAACATGTGAAGGATGCTTTTAATGTGTAGAACTAAAATAACACACAAAGTTCTTACTTTTTCTAACGGATCAAGACCCTATTCTAGCTGGGCATAGTGGTCATGTGCACGGCTACAATCCCAACACTCAGGAGGCTGAGGTAGAAGGATCTCTAGAGTTTGAGGCCAGCCTAAACTACACAGCGAGACCGTCTCAAAAAAACCACCCCCTCCAAAATAAACAACAAAGTCCTATTAGACTTATTAGCAAGAAATCTAGAAACACTCTCTTGAAGCTTTACATTAATTCTGAATCCTGTGTTTCCTCTCCTCAAGGGCAGCATTTCTACAATTTTCCTACTCCACTCCCTCAGCTCAGCCCCTCTGGTGCACAAGCATGCCTTATTAGGTCTCATCCTAACGCCCCTCCCCTTTTACTGCTTGCTCTCTTTAACACTGCTTGTTCTACTCCCCTTCAGGGGAACACTTCTTGAGGGAGTTGTCTGCTCTTGATGTTTTACTTCTTCTCTTCAACCCTCTTCAATCTGATTTATATCTCTACTACATCAAAGAATCAACCCTTGCCAAGGCTGCCTCCATCAGGCTAAATCCAATAGCCATTTCTCAGTATTTGATGTCTATCCAGGAAATGTTTTTGGGTGACTTTTTTTTTTTTTTTTTGGTACCGGGGATCAAACTCTGGACCTTGTGCTTGTGAGGCAGGTGGCTGACCCACTGAGCTAAATCCCAGGACCCAGGAAACTTTTTTTTTTTTTTTTGGTACTGGGGATCAAACTTGGGTCCTTGTGCTTGTGAGGCAAGCAGCAGAACCACTGAGCTAAATCCCCAGCCCTGGGAAAAGTTTTTATTCTTGCCTTCAAGGTTATCTTATTTTGGAGTGTCTTCTACTTACATCAATCTCCATTGCAGGCTCACTCTCTTCTAACCTCTAAACACAGGAGCCCCATAGCCCGTCTCATCTTTCCTTTTCCTCTTCCTCCCCTCTCTTTCTTTTCCTCCTCACTCACCTCTCTGTCTCTTTTCCAAGCTGAGAAATGAACCCAAGGCTTTGTGCAGGCTAAGCCCATGGTCCACACTGAGGATACTCTCAGCACTCCTCCTCTCTTCTTATCTGAACTCATCAGGTCTCTTCTGAATATGCTGATAACCCTTCAGTTTACACCTTGAAAGCAACCTCTGTCCTGAGCTCCAGAATTATGTATTCAATTGCCTGGTAGACACCTCCACTAGGACTTCTAATAGGCACCTCAACTTAAATTCAAAACAGATCCATGGAGATTTCTTCTTTCTCCAAACCAGCTCCTCTCCATCTTTTCCATCCGTTAATAGCACTACACACACCTACTTGCTCAGGCACAACTCCTAGGGTAATCTTTGATTTCTTTTTCCCTTCATACCCTAATCCAATTCATTAGTAAGCTCTGTTAGCTTTACCTTCTAAATAAGTCTGGAGCCTGATCACCTCTTAACCACTTTCATTGTTGTCACCTGGTCACGCTGTGATACCTCCGCCCCTTCTTCATGGTACTGGGGATTAAACACAGGACTTTTATACTTAGCTACATCTTTAGCCCTTCATATATAGTTTTTTTTTTCCTTTTGAGACAAAGTCTCTCTAAATTGCCCAGGCTGGGCTCAAACTTGTGATTGTTCTGTCTTAGCCTCCCAGACTGCTGGGGTTACAGGTGTATACTCCCACGCCCAGCTCCTGCATGATTTTCTCAGCAGGACTATTATATCCCTCTTTGGAATAGCCTCCTCAGTATTGTCCCACTACAGTTGTTTTTCACAGAGCAATCAGTGTGATCTTTTAAATCATAAGTTAGACCATACCATTCTGCCCCTAGAAACCCTCCAATGGCTTCTTACTATACTTAGATCATAAACCAGCCTTTCTGCCTGACTCTACTCTCTTCCCTCTATGACCTCCTCTCAGACCTTCTCCTTCTGTGAGAGGAGCAATATTCTTTGTCTTGTTCACCATTATGTCCCCACTGTCTAGTAAAGGGCCTACCTCACAACAGATGTTCAGGAAATATTTGTTAAATAAACAGATATAAGAATAGGTATACTGTGTTGTTGCTGAAATCTGGTGCTACAAGGTATATACAAGGTGCTGGCCCACTGTTGTCTTAGTCTGTTTTCTTTTGCTATAACAAAATACCTGAAACTGCATGCTTTATAAAGAAAAAAAGATTTAAACTCATAGTTCTGGAGGTTCAAGTGCACTGCACAGGCATCTGTGCAGCTCTAGTGAAGACTTCTTGGCAGATGGCATCATAATGGTGGGGGCATGTACAAGAGTGGTAAGCAATGCATAGGAAAAGGGACTCATGGGCAGTGGACTCATAACAATCCATTCCTGCAGGAACTAATGTAGTCCCATGAGACATGCATTAGTCCCTACCAAGGGTGGTGCCTATACGACTTAATTACTTCCACTAGGCTCCACCTCCCACCTCTTAAAGGTTTTATCATCTCAATACCACCGTACTAGACACCAAGTGTCCAACACATGAACCTCTGGGGAGCAAACCGTCTTCAGACCATAGCAACTGGTAGTTCAGATTCTTGCCCACACTTGGTCTTCAAGGATGACCAAGTACTGTATACTTCCTCTGTTCTTGGTTCTGCCACATACACTCCCTCTAGTCTTAGCATATTGCTTGTTGCTTGGGCTCCTGTGGTACAACTCTTAATGCTCTGTTCTTCCAGTTCTTGTAAGTATCCATCTCCTAGGGTACTAGCTGGACCCAGAAGGACTGGGTCAGAAGTTCTTTCAGGGCCGGGGATTTAGCTCAGTGGCACCTTGCCTGCCTCACAAGTGCAAGGTCCTGAGTTTGATCCCTAGCACATACACAAAAAAATTCTTTCAACTCCACTATTCAATGGCCCCCTCACATCACTGCTAAAGGAGGGTACTCTTTGTGAATTCCTGAGTATTGGACAATTTCCTATGTGAGAGAGAGAGAGAAAGAGCGAGAGAGAGAGAGAGAGAGAGAAAGCAAGCACAAGTTGAATTTTTTTGAAGTCATCTTTCTTCTGGAACAGTGATTTATTAACTTATTCATTTAATAAATGTTCATTGGTTGCCAGCTATGTGTCAGGCACTCTTCTGTGCACATTATTGTTAAAACTGTCATTTGTGCTATCATCTTTATCATGAGTCTGTGTTAGATTGTGAATTTCTTAAGAGTAGATATATTCTTTTTATTGTAACAAGTGCTCAATAAATGTCTTCTGCCTAAATAATTGAAAAAAAGAGTTAACGAAAGATGTTGAAGAAGATTAGGCCCCATTACACTTACATTCAAACAAATGCAAAGAACAAGAATTGCTCTTTAAATTGTACAGTTATTACATTAAAAAAATTTTAAATGTTTAATAATTGTTTTAATCTCACCACCCTACATTTCATTTTACATTTTTTCATGTTTGCTTTTTCTTTTTGACTATTTACATGCATATATTTTACAAATATATTTTCCATGTCATCTTCTGCCTTTCCTTTTAACATTAATGACAAATATTTCTTCATATTTTGAATCTGTGGGAATTTCTCTTTTTTTTCTTTCTGAAAAATCTCTTTTTCTGAAAATTTCTCTTTTCTTTCCCTATGGTCACTCGCAGTATAAACCCCTGAAAAACCTGTCAGGTATTTTTGTGCCTCTTCCACAAACAGCATGGGAAGGGAGCCCTTGAAGAAGTGTATCTCATTCTTAAGGAAGGGAGCAGGCTGTCAACGCCTGGACCTAGGAGAGAAGAAAGGTGAGCCTGGTCAGCTGGCCTGAACTGAGGAGTTGTGTGCAGGGCTCCATTGTGCACTATTTTGCAATTTGGTTAGCATATTTCTGCCTCTTGGCCCTCTCCTAGCTGTCTGTCATACAAAGCTTTAGCTTTCACTATGCTGTTATCAAGTGGGGAAATACTTCCAAAATCTGCCTATTCTTCTTTGCCTTTTAATTTCCTCTGCCACTTGTTATTTTTAAGTACAAGGTGAGTATGGAGAAGGACCACTGTACCTGACATAGGATGCTGCCTCTTGAAGAAATCAGCAGGAAATGGGAGCAGTTTACAGAAGCTTCTCTGCCACTCTCATGCTGGGAAGAAGTTAAGTATATCTGCAAAATTATATTGAAGACAAATGAAAAAAATGTGTTTTACTTTATAGCCAACTCTTCTGGAATGGAACTAGTTTTCAATGCAGTTATGAGGAAATGGCCCTTGGGACTAAATGATGATTCATGGGCTTTGAACTGTGAATGCAGAATTGAGCTGTGAACCCAGAACTGGAAATGGAAAATCACACTAAGGAATTGAAAGGTGGAAGTGCTCTGGGTTTCTTGCCTAAGAGACTGTCTCTTAGATATTGGAGACAAGCCACATTTTATAAACCAAAGAATCTAGATTTAGGTTATTTTGTGTAAATTTTCCCTCTCTTATTTGTTACCACTCATTGTTTTAACAGTCCACGAATGCTTTGTGTTGTAACATACATGCTTGGATCAGAGTTTAATGGGGAGCAACTGTAACCCTTGGAAGCTGACATGTTGACAGCAGGTGTAATTAGAGACAGACCCTAAATGGAAGACAAATCTAGTGTTAGGGACACCCTAAAATGAAAGCCCAAATTGTTTAGCCACTTCTAAAAGGTCTCCTATTAGAGCAAATCTTGAATATTTTTTCAATTTTATTTTTATTACAAAAGGTATATTCTTATTCTCAAGCCCAAAATAATTCATTTGGAAATAGTGATGGAAGAAAATTAAATCAAGTAGGACTTAAATTAATGACATCTTCTATAAGCTCTAAGATCTAGCACCAATTAAAGAGCATGCCTAGAAGAATGGAGTTATTGTATACTTAGGGACTCACCCACCTCCACATTTCTGAGGAGCTTAATCATTCATTTATTCAGCGAACATTTACTGAGTGACTATTAGGAAACATGTATTACAGGCAATAAGTTGTACACAGTTTTTAATAACTTCAAAGAATATTTGGATAAATAGGGGCCATGTGTCTATGGCACAGATACTTTAAGGCATATGACTGAGCTACCTACTGAGGGCCTTATGTATCCTCTGCCAGAGTATCTATGCATCCCTGGAATCCTTACTCAAAAGGACAGAAGGTGACTGATATCACCCACATTCTTCTTTATTACACCATCTTTTCTGGAATTTAGTCACCTTAATCACTACTTATGAAGTTCCACAATTTAAACAACAATTTCAACACACGGTGTTTTGGCCCTAATGAACCTTACAAATACTCGAAATACACAGAATCTTTATCTTCACGGTCAATTTATCCCTAATATTTATGGAATCAGAGGTAAGAATACAAAGAGGCCAGTATAACATATAACTCTTGTGAATACTATGCTAGTGTTGTAACCAAAAATTGGAATACTATGAGAAGTAAAAATCTACGCTTGGCATCATTGGGAAACAATACTGTGTAATGCAAACTGAGAGGAAGGATTTGACAAGTGCTGCTCTAATTTTACCTGACCTCCAAAGCAGTGTATTTCCAATTGTACTAGCCATACATTTCACTGCATTTGGAGTCATCTTTTGTTTTGGGGATATAGGGCAAGAAATATTAACTACAGTTTCACTGGGGCCTGAATAGCAATAATAGGAGAGGAAATTTATGGTTATGGGTTGGTGTTCAGCATCAGATCACGAGTGATAGAGGCAGTCATGTATTTTTAAATAAATCTATGTATGTGTGATATGTAAGGTTCTGTGAAGAGTGAGGTCCAGGATAGGGCCCTTTCTTGCCCAGCTGTAAGAATACTGCTTTGTGATACTAGCAATTTAATGTCCAGTGTGTTTGCAGGGTGAACTAGAAGGTGGAATTTTGTTTCTTCAGCATCAAGGATGATCTAGCTGGTCTGATAGCTTAGAGAACTGTAGCATATTCCTCAATTTGACTTGCCTCAAGACATGATGTAAATGTTAAGAAGAATTTTTAAAGAAATAGAAGTTAACATAAAAAATATAGTACAGTAAACTACCATTTCCATCACCCAGCTGTAATATCAGTTTATGGGCCCTGCTGTTTCATCTATAGCCTTATTTTTCCTCTTCACCACCCCTCCCCCAATTACCTTTGCACAAACCCTAGAAGTCTTGCTGTAACATGTATTTAAAATATATTGCATGTATTTCTATGATACATATTTGTAAAAGACATTCTAAAAAGATATAATCACAACACTATCATCCAATTATCCCTTATTCAATATTTTACCGGTTTCTTCTATGGAAAAGGCATTACATGGCTTTTTTTTTTCTTTTGAGAATGAAGAAAGCGTTTTTGTGTTTTTTTTGGTACTAGAAATCGAACTCAGGGCCTCGCATTTACCAGGCAGATGCTGTACCTTTGAGGTACATCTCTGGCCCCAAGAAAGCGTTATTTTATAGTGTTTGTTATGTTTGAAATCAAAAGTTCTGAGGAGGTGTTGTATGTGTGAAATACTTCAAGCTAAACTAAACCTATCTGTGGGGTTTGGCTTCAAGAAGGGCAGTTTGGGGACACAGCTGACCTGGTGACAACGAATCGGAGACCGCCTTGAAAAAAGAAGCACGGGAGGGGATTTAGCGCTCCTAGCAGGCCGAGGCGTGTTGGCACTCGTCTCTTTTTCCACAAGGTACAAGTTGCTAAGAGAACCAAGGGCTCTGCGTACACATCCCGGAAGGCGCGGGGCTGCCGCCGCCCGGGTCGCGTCCCGTCCTGGGCCGGTCCCCGCTGGCTCGGTGTCCGCGGCTCCAGGACTCGCAGACGACATTCTGGGCGTTTCCTCCTTTCCGTCCTCAGAAACTTTTGTTTTGGTTCTGGGTTCCAAGTCAAGGAAAGGCACCCTGTTGACCAAAGGTTTCTCAGTCTCCTCGGCGCGCGCGGGGGGGGCGGGGGGGGCCGGCGGCCAAGTTTCCTCCAGCCCAGTCCGCCCAGACTTGGCTGTGTTGGAGATCCTCGAGGGCCGGGGACAGGAGCCTCGCGAGGAAGAACAAGTGAGCAGGGCCATTCCCTTTGGTCTGTCTTTGTGTCAGTGCCTGTCACTCCGCAAAAGGCGCAGGGAGTTCCTCAGTGACTCTTCAGAGGCTTGAGTCTCCACAGTTCACAAGAGAGTAATCAGCGACGCAGCGCCGGGGCTGCCTTTGGGGCGACCCACACTGAGCAAAACTGGGCGCATGCGCGCGCCAGGGCCTCTTCCCAGTGCTTGTCCAGCGGCAGCGGCCGCTAGGTGGTGCATGCGCCCTGGAGGGCGCGGGCTGATCTCTGAGGCGGCGGGGAAAGGCGGGGGTGCCGTGGGGACCGGGTCCGTGTTTACACAGCGGCGGGCGGGTGCGGACGCGGAACCCGGCGCGACGGCGGCACGATGGTCATGGCGCATTTCGTCGAGAATTTTTGGGTAAGCGCAGGATGTTGGAAGTGGTGTGGGTTTCGGAGTGCGAGGCGTTCGGTGCCTGACCTCGGCCTGGGAGCGCGTCGGGCGGCGGCGGCGGCAGCGGCTCCTCCGACAGGGCGAGCGTCCTCTGACCGCCGCCCGCTGCGTCCTGCCTGGCGGAGGTCGCCGGCCGGCCGGGACTCCGGGTTCGCAGCCTTCCCGGCCGCGGGGGTTGTCAGCGCGGCCCCGCAGCCGAGGCCGGAACGCAGGGACGCCGCCCGCCGCCGGCGCTGGGACAAAGCGCCAGATGGGGCGGGAGTCCGGAGCCGGCCCCACCAGAGGCGCCCGGCGCCGGCGCGGTCCGCGCGGGGCGTGCGCGACGCTGGGACGTGGAGGACGCGGGCCCAGGCGGCGCAGGGCACAGGGCTGTAGGCGCCGGGCTCGCCGCCTTCCCGCGCCCGGGCTCCGCTGCGCGCTCACTTGCCCCCACGTTTTCCACGCGGAATCCCGCGCGGGGCTGGCCTTCCGCTGCCGCGCTTCCTACCGGCCGGCCTTGCCCTCTGCTCGTGGGTCCGCGCCCGGGACTTTGCCTCTAGGCCTGCTCACAAAGCGTATGAAAGTTGAATTTCGTGTAACTGAGCTCTGGGTTTTAAAATTCAGGGCGAATTCCCTTAGCCCTCCTCCCCTTTCCTCATTCTTTCCACACCCCTCCTCTTAGTATTAGTTTCTTCTTTGAGAATGACTTCGTAGGCTCCCTGTGGAATGTTTTTCTGCCATTATTGTTTGTTTTAATGGGAAGTACAGTTCAGCACGTACAGGAAAATAACATGTTTACTAAGGTATGTGGGGCAAATCTCATTTTAACGTTCTGACAGTTGCAAGTACTGCAGTTCCGTTTTAGGATCTAGAAATGTTTTTAAAGGAATAATTTTCCAGTTAGTAAGGAGTGTATCTTAAATTCGTGATTATAAGCACCTCAAGCATGCACTTGCTTAGTAATGAAATCAGTTCATACTAATTTGTCATGAATAGTCCCAATTTTCCGCAAACAACGTGTATGCCAGGCATTAATTTTTTTAACATTTTATTGAGATACAGTTCACATCCCACACAGTATAACCATTATTAAATAATGCACTTTAAAGGTTTCTCAAGTTCAAAGAGTTGTGCAGACATCACCATAATCAATTTTAGAACAATTTCATCATCCCAGAAAGAACCCTATACCCATTAGGATCACTCCCCATTTTTCCTGTGCCCCAGCCCTAAGCAACTAATCTACCATTCTGCCTCTGTAGATTTTTGTCTATTCTGTTTTTACCGTGTAAATGGGACCATCATGGCTGACTTCTTTCACAGTTTTCCAGGTTGAACCCTAAAATAGTGTATATCAGTACTTTGTTTCTTTTTATAGCCAAATAACATTCCACTTTGTATTTTACTTACTCATTCATCAGTAATGGACATTTGGCTTCCTTTTTCATTATTATAATAATGCTGCCGTGAACATTTCTGTACAAGTTGTTGTGTGAACATGTTTTCTTGTTTGCATGTGAAATTGCTGTAAAACTGTTCAACCTCTGAAGGCACTGCCAGACTCTTTTCCAAAGTGGCTGCAGTATTTTGCAATCCCAGCAGTGTTTTAGTGTTGCAGTTTTTTATATGCTTCCCAACATTTCTGTTGTGGTTTATATGTAGATTACCCCCCAAAGCCTCATGAGCTCAGAGATGGGGCTTTTGGGAGGTGACTGGATCATGCATGTGTGATACTGGGTGAGTTTATAGCTAGGTGCCATGTTGAGAGGTGAAGCCTGGTAAGAAGTGGTGGATCACTGTGGGCGTGGCCTGGAAGGGTAGATACACTGTGCAGTATATCCCTCTATTCGATTGATCCCTCCTTCAGCTTCCTGCCTGCCATACTATGGACTGTTTGTCCCCTGCCATGCCCCTCTGCCATGCTGTCCTGTCTTGGAACTGGCTGACTCTGGACTGAAACATCCTCAAACTGTGAGCCAAAATAAATCTCTCTCCTCCTTTACCTTGTGAGTGTTGGGCATTTTGTCCCAGCAGTGAGGAAATAACTAAGACAGCTTGTAATATGTCCTTTTGTTTGAAGACAGAGTTTCACTGTGTAGTTAAGGCTGGCCTTAACTGGTTATGTAGCCTAGGGTTGGCCTTGAACTCCCTGAAATCCTCGTGCCCCACCCTCCTGAGTGTTGGGATTGTAGGTGTATGCCACCACACCTGGCTGTAATCTGTCTTTTTAGTGTGACATTATAATGGGTGGATGTGATATAGCATCTCATTGTGGTTTTGATTGCGTTTCTCTAAGGCTGATGTCGTTGAGCATATTTTCATATATTTATTGTCCATTTTTATATTTTGTTTAGAGAATTGTTTGGATCCATTGCCCATTTTTAAATTGTCTTTAGGCTTGTATGAGGTTTTAAAAATGTGTTCTGCGTACAGTTATTTATCAAATAAATGATTAGGAAATATTCTGTTAGGCTGTCTCATTTTCTTGATAACATCCTTTGAAGTATGTATTTTAATTTCAGTGATGTCTTGGTGAAGTTCAACTTTTTTTTTTATCACTTGTGTGTTGTCATATTTAACAGATTTACTCCTATGTATTCTTATAAGGGTTTTATATTTTCTGCTCATTTCTAGGTTTGTGATCCATTTGAGGTTAATTTTTGTGTGTGGTGCAAAAAGGTGTACAATTTCATTTGTTTGCACGCAGATATCCAGTTGTTCTAACACTATTGATTGAAAAAGCTCTTCTTTCACAGTTGAATTGTTGTGGCACTTTATCAAGTGTAAATTGACCAGAGATGAATGAGTGTGTTTTTGAATTTTCAGTTTTATTACTTTGGCTGTCCTCATGTCACACTACTGCACTGTTCTGATTACTGTAGCTTTCTGTACGGAGTTTGGAATCAGAAAGTGAGTCCTTCAGATTTTTCTTTTTCAAGATTATTTTGATTGTTCTGGGTCTCTTGTCTTTCTATATGAATTTTAGGATTAGCCTGTCAGTTTTAGACGTTTTACAGTTGCAATTTGGAAACATTTTTATGAAGATTGTTTAAAAATTGATGATCTTTCACTGTTTTTTATTGTTGTTGTTGTTTTTTTGTTTGTTTTTTTGAGACAATGTCTTGCTATGTAATTCAGGCTGGCCTTGAACTCACTGTGTAGCCCAGGCTGGCCTCTGACTCAAACTCCTTTGGCTCAGCCTCCTAAGTGCTGGGATTGCACTGTCATGCCTGGCTGTTTTGCATATTTTTGATTACGTAAATGTTTTTAAGTTTGTTCTCTTAATTCCCAATTGTGTCTTAACATTTAAAAGTTATGTTTTATTTTTTAAATTGAGCTTTCGGCATATCTTTGTTGTTTTTGGCTATTTTGAATAATGCTTTTCTGAATATTTTGGATGTATTCTTTGTGCTGTTAATGGAGAAATGGGACTAAACTTGAATATTTGAAATCTAGAGAGAACCCCAGATCTAATTTATGCTTCAGTCTTTGCCTTCATTTCTACTAGTGAACAAATAGTAAAGATCATTTTATTTTATTTTCCAGCTTGAAATTAGGGCTGAAAGTTCTAAATTGGAGTATCAAAAGCTTCAGAGGAGATGGGTGCGGAGGTGCACACCTGCAATCCCAGCACTTTTGGAGGCTGAGGCAGGAGGATCATGAGTTCTAGCCTACGGTGAGCACTTTAGCACTTTAGTGAGACCTTTTGTCAAAAAAGAAAACAAAGCAACCACAATAACAAAACAGTGCTGGAGATGTGGTTGACTGCAAAGGCTGAGGCTAGATTTAATCTCCAGCACCTCTCTTTCCCTCCTCCTTTTCGAGGAGGCTAAATGAGGTAGGAAAGTCTAAGAACTAACTAGCTTCTGAGAATATGATAGTTGTCTGTTTAAAACAACTTGAACAGTTATATAGTTTATGAAATCTATTCTTTAAGAAGAGAATTTACAATATTAATTTTTCTTCCTCTTCCCTAATGTTTAAAGTGGCATTGTCAAAAGGAAATAAAACTCACAGTCCAAAACGTGTTGTACATGATAAATATATACAATTTTTGTCAGTTAAACTCTTTGAAGTGAGGTAATGGCAACATTCAAAGTTTTAGGTTTCTAACCAAACAACCTATTAATTGTCTTCCCCTCACATATATAAAGACAAACCTCTGTATTATGTCATTTTGTTAGAGGAAAATTTGAATCATTGAAACTGTCTTCAAGTTATTTTGAAAGCAGCACATCTTTTTCTTTGTAGATTTTTCTTAATTGAAACTATATACTCAATTGAAAATTGCTCTTCATA